ATGGAACTTCTGGGTCACAGGGTAAACACATTTTAAATTCTAATAGGCACTGCCAAATTTACCTCCAAGGAAATTTACATTCCCCCCAAAAGTGTGTGAGTGTTCCAGCTGCCCCACATCCTTAGCCTCTACTGGCTACCATCATCTTCCAATCTAATAGGTAAAAGTGGAAATTACATGTTTTATTTTATATTTATTTAAATTATTAGGATTTTTGAATTGATAGCTTAAATAGATTTTGAATTATTATTAAGTGTAGGCTAAGCTTTTTTTTCTCTATGGAGAAAATAAAAGTTCAAGAAGCACATTTACAGGGTAACTGGGGAGACTGGTAATATTTAACCAACGCAGGATTTTAGCATGGAGCAGACAATGATGCCAATCACAAATGAGTTTGATCTCTTCACTAAAGCTCGCTTACCATGCACTTGAAATACACTGCTATCAGTTCTTTGAGCTATGCCATATATTTTAGCAAATGTTTCTTTTAAGAGTATATTTAACTCCATAGTCATATATTCACTTCGTCATCTTTACTTACTCATTATACTCCTCTGTGTGATGTCTACTTCAATATTTTGTTTTATATAAAATGTTGCTCATTAATCTGACCTTTGACCTCTTTTAGATGTTAAAGCACAAGCCTATAACGAGTGTTTGGCCATGAACATCCAATAATATGAAGACAACTGATATGAGTAGCTGTATTAGAACACAGAAAAAGGAGAATAAGAGAAGTAGATCTTAGCAGTGATCATCCGTAGAGATGCTCTAGGTATTTCAGATTATGAAAACAAAACATGAACAAAGCCTCCACCTACTCTATAAATGTTTACATAAATGTGATGTCTTCTGTTCATAAATGCTGATTCACTGTCAATGGCTAGATGCTTATGATTACAATGCTATTAGCAATGATGGCAGAACTGAGCTATTCACACATTTTCTTACCTAATTCTCTTTGTGGCCACCTCCAGTAACAATTTTTGTCAGGGAGACTCTAATGAGCTCTAACAGGGACTGACCTTATTATCCTGATAAGTTAGTACCCATAACTGCAAAAATAAGTACCACAAATTATCTAGTACTCTAGAAAGGTTTTGACTCAAAACTGATGCAACAGTAAAATCCTCTCTACGCTTCCCTTAATTCTCAAATAAAATTTATATTCTTCATAGAACAAACTGATACTTAAGACTTTATTTCAAATCCAAAAGCTAAGCTCTTGCTACTTTAGTATGTCCACATGGCCAGTCCACATGAGCACATGACAGATCCTACACATCATCTTTCCCATATCAGAGACTGGCAGAAAGAGATAGAGCAGGGGGCAGGAAAGAGCAGAACACAAACATGACAAAGTGCCAAAGACAGGCTATAAATTATCTTTCGGTCACTCATGACTGCATTGCGAAAAAGCTGACACAAAGGTAGGACCCATCCTTCCTTTGGAGGAATACAAGTATTGTATGAAAGCATCTTCCTAACTCACTAACAGCAGAGCTGCACTCCCACCCCTCACATAACTTGCCCAATGAAAGAAGCGCTGCTAGGTTCTAAAGGCAATGAGAAGGAGCTCTGTATTCTGGCAATTGCAGGGAGCAATGAAGACCAGCTTCCCGGGCTCTAAACTCTGCCAGACTGCCCTGCTAATCCTTCCCAAATCCTGCAATGCTGGGGTGGGGGTGGGGGAAAGAATAGAAAACGATCCAAAACTGAATCAAGGACAGTAGCTCTGGATTACAGGAGGTCATAACATGCCTATTTGAATGGGGGTGGGGTGGGCATCAGGGCCGTCGCAGGACATATACAAAAGCCTGTATGTTTATAAAAACACAATACAAAAAAAATTTATCCCTGATCCTTCCAAAGCGATAACCAATGTCTGCCCCCAATCATTTGCCAGCCCAGGCTGCATGGAAGGCACAGAGTAACAGGCATTTTCACACAGTGAGGCTGGAAGAGATTCTACTAGAGTGTAAATTACTAATTAGCTCAATAGAAGACAAAGAGAGAAAATACCTGTCACAGAATGCTATTTACAACTTGACATATAATAAAAACAACCCCGAAAATTTTAGAAGAGCGCCTTACTTTTCAGACTTCTATTAACATGTAAATGGCAAAGGAACAGTATTATAGTCTTTAAAAACTGCCCATGTCTCAGAAACAATAATGCATGATGGGAAAGGATGCTTTCCAAATAATTTATAATTTTCTCATCCTTATGAAAGCTAAGTGTTTTTAATTATTACAATCAGCTTTAGTAAGGAGCTATATTTCATAGCTTTGATGATCACTTAAAGATGTGGGGTGGGGAGAAGCCCACAAGAGCTGTATTTTACATACATAAGACTATAGTTAATAGTCCTTATACTAAAACTGAACAGGCCTCAATCTGCAGGTCATGTTTTTATGAAATGGACTGGCTACCATTTTAATAAAGACTGAGGATGAGCTGGAAGATAGTAGTGGGATGGAGTCAGTTACATCTCCATATATGATGACAACTGAAAAGACTCTCAAAATTTAGATTTACTTTGGAGGAAGGTAGTAACAGGCTGGGATATTTATATTCATTCCTCTACCATAAGGCAAACCTATTTGTATTAACTGCAACCTGGTTCTTAAGAAGTACATTCTGCACTTAGATTTCTTCCAGCTCCTTGATGCTACATAAGGATCTTCAATATATGTATTTCACCTAAATATGTCTCAATCACAGTGATGAACAGGGCTGTGACTCCTGTTTACACATAACAATCACCCAAACGGGGTGCGTGAAAGGCTCAGTCCATTAAGTGTCGGACTTCAGCTCAGGTTATGATTTTGGGGTCCTCCTGGGATCAAGCCCCACACTGGGCTCCTCACTCAGTGGGGAGTCTGCTTGTCCCTCTCCCTCTGCCCCTCCCCCTACTCGTGCACGCTCTCTCTCTCTCAAATAAATAAAATCCTTAAAAACATAATAATCACCCATATGTCATTAACAGTTATCATATCCTGAGGACTCCCTTGTGTGTGGACACATCATGCCAGATGCTAAGAAGGTCCCCATCAGGTGTACACCATGACATGGTTTTTGCTGACGAGGGAGGGGCCTACAAATTTCTCATTCACAGGTGAAATTAACTAAAATCAAACATACCAACTTAATATATATTCAAAACATTCTCCCCTTTCCTTTTTATTTTTTTTTTAAGATTTTATTTATTTGAGACAGAGAAAAGGAACAGGGAGAAGGGCAAAACGGGAGAGAGAAGTTAAGCAGGGAGCCTGACATGGGGCTCAATCCTAGTGCCTTGGGAACATGACCTGAGCTGAAGGCAGACGCTTAACTGACTGAGCCACGCAGGTACCGCCACCTTTTCTTTTTAAAATTAGGCCTTCTTGGGGCGCCTGGGTGGCTCAGTGGGTTGGGCCTCTGCCTTCGGCTTGGGTCGTGATCTCAGGGTCCTGAAAATAAGGCCTTCTTACCCACTTTCTTTCAACTTTTCTTGAAAAATATTCAAGTGAAAGAAAATGATAAAGCAAATGGGGCAAATGAAAGCAACTGGTGAATCTGAATGAGGGAACAGAGAAGTTCTCACACTATCTTTGCAACTTTTCCATAAGCCTGAAACATAATAAAAATATCAAGTCACACACACACAAAGAGTGTCAACAACAGAAGCTCTCTCACAGGGTTGCTGAGAGTTTCAAACAATTCACATACTTAGCTCATGCTGGGCACATAATAAACACTAATTATTAGTTATTTTTTAAAAATGAGAGTGGATCAGCTATAACAAATGAATCACTCTGGTGAGGGAATGTTGATAATGGGAGAGGCTAGCTGTACATGTAAGGGAGCAGGGGGATACGGGAAATTTCTGCACCTTCCTCTCAATTTTGCTGTGAACCTAAAGCTGCTCTAAAAAAATAAATAAATAAAGTCTTAATAAAAAGGGTGGATCAATTTACTTAACCAAATTAAAACATACATAAATATATTTAGTATATTGTTTGCACAGACACACATAAAGAGAAGACAGTAAAAAAACCAGGCAGAATCTGAACACACTTTGCTTACAGACATCTGCACTGAAATTGGAGTTCCATTTTTCCTCAATGGGCAACAATCTCTCAACTATAAACCCATATGGTTTATAATGAGTCCTTTTTTATGTGAAAAAGATAGATAGGTAACCATTTATCTGCAATGCACTTAGGCATTTTTACTGGTTTTAGGTTGTTTTGTTTTATGAACACCATTTTGTAAAAGAAAAAAATAAGGGCATGTAAGAACCCTGATGTAATCTTTGCATTAGCCACAGCCCTCACGGTGTTTGTCCCAGGTTCCCCATCTAGCAAGCCACTGAGGAGAGGTCAGTAACAGAACCACAGGGATAATCTAAGGACTGGCAAACAGGACAGGTTAAGTGATAAGATAAACCAGCACTGTTTAATCTGGAGAAGAACATGGTGACTGATCAGTTCATAGCCCTCAAGCAGAGGTAATACCAGAGCAGAGACAGCCTTCAAAATGCCAAGGTTCAAGTCCTATCCCCACCACTTGGTAGAATTCTACAACTGGAAAAAAAAAGTCTGAGTGAATCCTTGAGGACAAGTCATTTAATCTCAAGGAGACTTTATTTCATCACATGTAAAATGGGAACAGTAACAACATCAACCTCATAGGGTTGCTGCTAGGAGTGAACGAGTTCCAATCTACAAAGAACTTACAACAATGGGCGGCATAAAAGCATATATGTGGGCAGCTACTGTTATTAAGTTTATGAAGAACTAGAGTCCCCTTAATACTATAGTAAGCCCATATTTTTACTCAGAAATGGAGAACAGGGCAACAGAGAACACATGCAAATATAGTATAAGGTGGATGCTGGTTAGACGGAAGGCAGACTGTCCTAATAAAGAAAATAATTAAATACCAGAAAAGATTATCTACAAAGGTTGCCACATTCTCTCTGAAGATTTATGAAAACAGGATAAATTTTATCTACCTGGGATGATTTAAGTGGGATATTGACTGAAGTTGCAGGATAAACTAGAGGTCCTTTCAAGGTCTCTTCCCATCCAAAGAATCTACAATTAATCAGAAAAACATTTAAGTATGTAAAACCTACTCACTCAAATCTGAATATCGAACTTAAAAGTTTTTTGCTTAGCAAACAAGATTATAAGCAAAATAAAGTTCAACTGAGTTCACTTGAGCAAATGAAAACAAAGCTTACATTTATCACTGAGTCCTTACTGATGAATAGTATTATCTGAACCAAAAGATTACCCATTTTCAGTTTTAGAAGTATCAACTGAGAAACAACCATTCCCAATAAGCATCAGTGTATTTAGCATACTACTGTGGCAGATAAAGACAAAGACAGAACCCAAACAGACTTTTTCCCTTCTTCATCAACATCAAATAAGTCTAAAATTATTTACATGAAGACATCAAATATAAAACAATTACATTTCAAAAATGGCAAAACCATAAACAGAGTACAACCTACTAGTAATACCAAACCTATCTAGACAGGAAGGGAATATGCACAAACATCCTACAGAAACAGGTGCCCCACATCAAAGTTACTCTTCAGCTCCAAAGTTTACATTTCAGACTAATCCTCTCGAAATTTAGCAGCAAAAATAGTAATTTCTAAAAATCTTCTATTAAATTACAAAATCAATGTGGTCACCTTGACCATCTGCCTAAGAGAATCCAGAATCCATGAACATAGAAGCTGAATCCAGATAGATTTTAGATTCTAAACTGACATAAATGAACATCAGTGATTCTGATAACCACTAATCAAAATATAACTTCGCTGTTACAAATGCTATCATCTTTGCCATTTACACAAAAACCCACAAAACGGTGGCAATTCAAAATTTATACAACTTTGGAAAAAAAGTTATCTTTATATATCTGAATGTACGCTAATAAAATAACCACAAATAAGATTCTCAAGATCGGTTTGCATTTTTTCCTTAAGTAAATTATAGCTATCCTTTGGAACTATCAAATAAAAAGTAATAATCATTCACATTCGTAACTAAATGTAAAAGCTTCAGAATAAAAATCATCAAACAAAATAGTAAGAATAATCTAAATTTTGTCCCAAATTTCTCATCTTCCTTTATATTTCCAGAAGTGTCTTAAAAATCAAAAGCTTCTAGAAATTAATATTAATATGGCCTTCTTTAGTCACAACTACAAAACAGGAGAGGCAGTGGAGCTGTCCAAGGCATTGCATTATTGTATGGAGGCTTTTTCATGATAAAAAAAAATTACTCATAAATTCACTACTTAACCTAAAAAAGAAGTCCCACTCTAAAATCCTCCACTGTTCTACAAATCTCCCTTTCTTTATTCCATTTAGCTAATGAGTAAGTCACCTACTACAGTGTGAAATGTCCCACATAAAGCTAAAGGCAGCTTAGGAACTCAAAGCCCTCACAGTCCTGATTTAAATCTCTTCCTCAGCAAACTTCCCTAGTTGGTTATTTGCTCTCTTCTGAAATGATTTCTCAATATTCTCCAACCACCAAAAAACAATTAGGCAGAAATCTGGTTGGTTAATCAAAACAAAAAGATGTTCATCCTTCTCTATCTCAACAACAGTAGGCTCTCCATTGAAAATGAATGTGCTGTGGCTAAAGCACTCTGCTCAGTGCTGTCAGGTACACCCTGTTACAACACAACACTATCACACCACACAGGCAGAGCCATACTGTAAGTAAATAAAACCTGTATTCCCATCATCACAACACTAGCGAAATGCAGAGGTTTTCAACATCGAGTTGATGCTTCATCATTCACAGAAGAACAAAATCAAATCAAAATGGGCCTCATCTTTTCAAAGTAGACATGAAAGTCGAATTAAAAACAATGAGAGGTGAAAGCAGATTCATGATGCCTTGAAGAGAAAGACAGGTTTCTGGAATTTCCTACTTTTGCAGACAAAGGGACCCACAATTTCAACACACAGTTCTCTTCTCAACAAAGAACTCTTTTCCTGCAAACACCCACCACCGCCCCCCAATCTCCACTCTCACTTTTCAGTGTTTACTCCTATCTCTAGGTCTCTGTTCACTCACCATGGTTCTTCCTCTTCTGCACCAAAGGCTCCCTACACTTGATCCTCCACTATAGCATCTGTGCCCTGACCCATGCGGACTTTCTGGAACATCTCCCCACAACCTGCACATTTGATTCCCACTCCTGCACAGTCTAGTCCAGTTCTTCATCCAGCAGGACTTCTCCAAATTCCCTTAATCCTATTCTCTTCCCTTACACCCCATCTCATCCTTTAAATCCCAGGGCCCATCTCTTCCTTGCTTCTCTCACCATCCCCTTTTAGCCCTGTCTCTCCACCTCACTGTTTTTACCTTGGATCTGGCTGAACCTCGTCAATTAACACAATTCCCCAGTTACCATGTCCCAGACCGCCATCACTCCTTTACACCCTTACTCTTTTCTCCTTTCAGCTTGTTTGGCCCCAGAATTGTCCTATAAACGCCTCACCTCTCATCTGTTTCCATTCACCCTTCCACTACGCTAATTCCTAACTCCACCTGGTACTCGTCCAGTATCTATTTCACCCTCCCTCACTTTCAAGAATTTACACCCATCGCCCACCCACTAACCCATACCTTTCTCAGAACCTCGCGATTCCCACCCCACCGCGGGTCCTAGTCCTTCAGCTCCTCTCGCTCTGCACTAGTTCACACCCTTGTCACGTCTGGCTCTTCATCACCCTCTCTCCTCTACTCCCAACTAGCACCCCAGCTCTGCCCCTCCTTGCCTTCCACTTCCAACTCTTCCCCCCAGCACCCTCACCCTGCTACCATCCCCTACAAAGCTCTCTTCCTCAAACCCCTGCTCTTAAACCTAACCCCATACCTGGTCTTCCTAACCTCATTCCCTGCTGGCTTCCTTAACACCCACCCTGGGTTTTGCTTCCTTTCTACCTCCTTGGCTGGCTTTTTCTCACTCCTTCTCTCCCTGCCTTCTAACCCTTTCTCCCCTTAATCCTCCTCATCTCATTCTTCGACCCATTCCCCCCACAGTCCCTAAGCCTTCCTTCGCTTCTCCTCTCAAGGCTTTTTTTTTTTTTTTTAACCCCCAATCCAGTCGTAACCCACCCCGCCAAAATAATGCTCTGGCGCGCCCCGACTGCCGGCTCTCGCCTCCGCCGGCCCCCGCCCCGGGCACCCCCAGCCCGCCGGCGCCGCGGTCCCGCCCCCTGCCGCCGCTCCTCCCGCCCGCGAGGCGCGCGCCGCCTTTGTCGCCCCTCACCCGGTGTGTGAGGATTTGGCTTCTTTAAAGGGGAGGGCCAGTGTGCTGGAGACTCCTGTCCCCGCCTCCGAGTCTTAGAACGGACTCCCTGGCCGTCGCGTCCTCCCCGGTCCCCGTCCCCCCACCCCCTGGAGCTACCCCCTTGGCTGCCTCCCTACCTCCTCCGCCCCCTCCCCGACCCCCCCCTCTATTTACCGCCATCATCAGCACGCGCGAGCTGTCACCAGGGCGCGAGACAACCGAACACGGCCCCGCCCCCTGACCGCCCATTGGCCCGCCCGCCGGAGCCCCGCCCCCCGGAGCCCCGCCCCCCGGACCCCGCATTGCGCCAACGGCGCAGCGCTCGGCCCCGACCCCGGCACAGACTGCCTCTCTGAAGGTTCGCGCCGCGGGCGCAAAGTTTAGGGTTAGACACAAACGTGCGGCCGATTTGAGCCTGGCGTAAGGGGCGGCAGCGTAGAGGGGCGTTGTGAATCGCGGGTCGAAGTTTGGTTGAAGCACAGGAGGGTAAATAAGGAGGTTTCCAGACAAAGAGACTCTTAAAGGTACAGAGTCTTAAGGCTGTCCCTCCTCCTTAAAGGGCCAGACTCTAAGAGCCCATCTCCGCCCCCTTCTCCCCAGCACTTCAGCCCGTGGAACAGTGAAGGAATTCCATCTACACTAGTTCCCCGCACACTTTTTGGAGCTCCTTTAACATCTCTCCCCACTGCCAAGGGTGGAAGCCTTTGTCACTATCCTATGTTTTTGTTTTATTCTGTTAAAAGACTAAGTGATTGCTAACATTGTCGTTCCGAAAGCAGCAGCCTCCGAGCCCTGGGTTTCCTGAGGCTGCGTTTGCAAAAGTTACTATTGGCTACCAGACAGTGAGCACGTGTCTGACTTTTGCCACTGAAGACCCAGGCGGGACCCAGCTGTTTTATGGAAATCCCCCCAAGGAAGAGGCTCACAGCCAAAAACTTAAGAAGTTCAGCAGATCGTAGGGATGCGGACCACAGGGAAACAACAGCGGCTATTTCTACTAGTCTTAAAGATTTCCTCCAGAGGCTGCATTGTTCTGACATAAATTGCGGGAGGTGACGTTTCACCACCACCCCCACCCAGTTTACAAATACCAGACCAACACTGTTACATCACTCAACACATGGCTAAAGCAGGTAAAGACTTACATGTAAATAGAAGGACAAAGAAAACAAACATCTGAGTTAACAGCTACAGGGGCTCAAGGCTACACACTTGTCAATATGAAATAAAGAAGCACAAAAGCTCAAGAACAGCAAAATTAGAAGGGAGAAACACCCAGTGCATGTGTAAGCATGAAACTACAATGCCTGCAGCCAAGCTTACATAAGTGTAAAAACAGGTCTAAAGGTAATTAACCTGGCCATTTGTAAGAGGTTTGATGATGGAAGGAAAGGACTCCACAACTGATTTGATGAGGATTTGCCATGTGGTTCATGAGCTCAAAGTAGGGTCTAAAAATTTGGCATTCCCTTTGTTGCCTATCACCTTTAATTCGTTTTAAAAATCTTATCTTACATTTTAACTCCTTTATTAGCAGTTTTCTCCCCTTGCTCCCCAAACCCCCCCAAAATTTTTGGAGATTCAAGATTGTACCTTTTTCAATGTTAATACCTTAGCAAAGTGCCCCACACATAATAGGTGCTTTTATTGAGAGGTTTTGGAACACCTAAGACTTCTGAAGGAAGGAGTGTTCTCAGAATAGCAATCTAGGGGGAAAAGATTCTCAGTGCCCTGAGCATATATTGGATCAGCGGTTCTCAAAGTG